GGTTTTCATCGTATCTTGAATCTTCTCTATGACCTGCCCATCGCCATTTCGTCTTTGCTATCTCCTCTACGATGTCCCTAATTTTAGTTTTACGTCTTATCTCGGTGTTTCAAATTTTGCCACTTATGCTGATATACTGAAATTCATCACTATCATATAGTGATATTCCAAGCATACTTCGCTCCATCGCCCTTTGGGTCGCCTCCAATTTTTAGCAGACTTTTTGGTGAGGGACATGGTCTCTACTCCGTGGGTGCACACTGGTAATACGCAAATGTCATATGCTTTTCTTTTTAGGTTTATGGGAATAGAATTATTTTTCAGGTTATATGTACATTTACAGAAAGCGGTTGCCCATGCTAGTTGTGTTCTTCTTTCTATTTCAGCATCCTGGTTAGATTTTCCTAGTCTGGCCCAAGTACACATAGTATTCGACGTTTTCTACAGTATGGTTCTGTATTGTTATGTTTGCTTGTTCGTGGCTCATTATTTTTTATTCGTTTTAAGGCCTACAGTAGCAGTTGTTGTAGCATTTAGTTTAATTCTTACAGATTATTTGCTATTAAGATTAGGACATCCGCAAATCTGAGATGATTTAAGTATACTCCGTGGATGCTTACACCTTTGGTGTCCCATTTTAGTTTCGTAAAAATGTTTTCCAGTACGAGAGTGAATAGTTTTGGCGAGATAGTGTCTCCTTGCTTCACTCCTCGTTGCAGTTTTATGGGGTTTGTTATTGTTTTTTGTCCAGTTTTATTTGCATACTTGCATTTTCGTGTATGTTATTTATGATATACGTATTTCTTGAATCAATTCTTGGATTTTCTAAAGATTCTAACACTGCCCATACTTCTACCGAGTGAATTGCTTTTTGAAAATCTAGAAAAGCCAGATGGAGCGGTACACGCAGGTGGTCGTTGGTGCTAAAGTGCATTCTAAATCCAACCTGTTCGACAGACTCTTAGAAATCGAGTTTATTTGTTAAGCGATTGATTAACATTTTGGTTCACAGCTTGTGGAGGTGTGATAATATAGATTTTGGTTGGCAGCTTTCAATATTTGTATTGTCTTCTTTTTTGAATATTAGGATTACTTCGGAGTTATACCAATCTTGTGGGATCTTTAATCAATTGTTATTTTATTAAATATGATCTTAGCATAGTTTCAGCCTCCCTGCAGTAATTCTGCTTTCTCCTACATATCTATTGTTTTTAAGCTGACTTAGTGCCATTCTTATTTCATTAGAAGAGTTAGTTATTTCTAGTTTTTCCTCTTAGCCGATGTTAAGTATAGTTCTTTCAATTCGTTGTTGATGTATGCGGGGCGAGTATAGCTTGATATAGAAGTTTTCAATGACAGTGCTTATCTCCTTTCTGTCCTGGACAATAGCGTTTTGTCGTTTTTTATTTCTGTAATTTTTGTTCTGCCTCTCGAGTTTTTTTATTTTAAGTACTTTCATGTAGCAGTTTTTTCTTATGATGTCTTTTATTAGTTTGTTAGTATAGTTTCCACTGTTCTTTTTAATTTCCTTTTTGACTTCCTTGTTTCAATACTTAAAACTGTCTGCTGATCGATCTGTCCTTTCTCGTTTCTCTTTGAGAAGTTTGATATTACCAGGTTGGACCTTAACGGACCCACATACCCTGAAGTCAAAATCAAGTCAATTTCTCACAAACAAATTTGCAAACATGATAAAAATATAGATCTGAATAAATTGCTCAAAGCCGGGGCAGATTCTATCTAAGTGCAAATATAAACATCAAGAATGGATGCAGATCCCTGGTAACTTGCAAAGGCTCATGCTATTCCCCTTCAGATGCAGTGAGCATCAGCAACTAGCAAAATACAAATAATTTAGTTTATACCGCAAACTTTACTATAGAGTAAAGTGCATTGTTATGTGTGTTAACTCAGTTAGCACATTGAGGTCATTTATGAGACTTGATTCTTGGTCCTCTAATTCGCCTAAATTTGTAGTTACGTTTTCAAGCTCAAAATTGTCATTATTAACAAATCAAAATAAACATATAGAAAATGTTTATAGAAAAATTTTACCGCACAGCGAGATTTTCTAGAGGAAAATATTTAAAGTGATCACTATCGTTGATACATTCCATGAAAACATAAAAAGTAGGAAAAACTTGAGTAAGTCCCTTACAACAATCTTAAGCAGATATTAATTAGCAAAAGTTAGTCTTATTAATAACCATAATAACTCAATCTCGATAAAACAACAATTATCAAATGGCAGAAAGTATACTCATATGCAGATACAAATTACATATGTATATCATTTCATGGGTGGTCAGAGCAGCCTGACTATGATTAATGCAAATGACCTACGATAAAATGATAATTTTGAGGAAGATTTATGTTAATTTTCTAATGCTCGACCTGGAATGATATGCTATTAATAAATATTAATATTTCATGTAAAGGTTCTTAAAGAAAGAATCATAGGGAAAACTAGTCAGTGCTCATAAATTTAATTACCTACAAATATTTTTAGCTGGTTTTGAAACATCCGGCAACGTTTGTTCAACTCTTATGGAATCATCATTCATTACGCTTCATGGTACCTACGTCATATATTCACTTTATTTCGAATATTTCGAGGATTGTCCTTTGATGAATTAGTGTGCTTTGAGCTCGAATCTGAAATAATCATGCAGTGTGTCTCATCCAAAGAGAGTAAATTTGTTATTAAATGTAGATGTAAATGCGCAAAAGTCCCACAAAGGTTGCGCTGCAGCTCTTGCACAGGCTTTTCTTATCCCTTGCGGTATCTACAGCATATTCGTGCTGTCATCAGAATTATGTAGTGTGTCAAATGGAATAAATCGTTAACAGATAAAAAGTGGTGTGTTTAAAAAAATGCTTGATCAGCTTAACTGTCATATATAGATTAGTATAATGTTTAATGTAAACTGCGTCACGTAACGATGGTCATTACCCACTTTCGTATATTTCTATACTACTACTATTCACTTTCTAAAGTCTACAATATATTTCGGAATATACAAGATGTTTAGGTTACTACTACAAGACTGAAAGACAAACGAATCGACCAGTAAAATTAGAAGGCTTATTAGAGGCTGGTCAGTTGATGAGGACAGATGATAGTAGATGGACCAGGAAGACAACTGAGTGGAGGCCCAGAACAACTAAAGGAACCGAATATTATATCTAGAGACTGGCAGGTACCCAATGGATGAGTCAAACGACCGAGAGAAGTGAATGATGAAGAATAGGAGAGGCCTATGTCGAGAGTTGGACGTAGAGAGGCTGAGTATGATGAAGATGACGATTATGTGATAATAATTTATCAAAGGTATCCGCAACTGAAAAGTGGTCTTAAAATAAAACTCGTAAAAATCATGTTAAGGTCATGATACACGCTTTATTGAAAAACCAATTGCATCCCGTTATAGCTTGAATTGGATTTCGCGCATATAGGCGTCGCGGATGGCTCGATTGAAGAGCAATCTGGAAGCCGAACCACTTTGATTCCACCAGACAATAAAGCACATCGAACAGTGAGGTTCTGTGGATATAACGCCGTCTGAATAATGGCTTCTGGGGTTTCGTCGCTCTAAATCCCCCAACGTTGTTTATTGGCGTAGTCATTGGACCAAAAACGAGTCGCTGAACAAAAAGTTTTTGGGGAACATTAAGATCATACGATCTTGTTGGCAAACTTAACACCGATTTTCAAACCACTTTTCGGGCGCAAGTCTATTCATTATGAAATGGCAAATCATACTGGTCAAAAACAAACCTCTGAAAAACACCCTTTAGTTGAATCAGCATTACCCACGCCGATGGATCGGTAGAGGAGCAAATGCTTCTCATTTGGTCACCATGGTCATTTGGCCACCGCGTTTGCTGGATTTGACTCCCTTGCATTGTGCGGACTCTAAGGTTTTTATTTTTTTTATATTTATTTTATTTTTATTTACCTACGGGCGCTCAATGCCCGTAGGTAAATAAAAAAGATTATTTGTGGAGACGATTTCAAAATTCAGTAGATATTTTAAGAGGAACTGATGGGTAGATGATCTATTTTAACTTTGTACATCGAGCTACTCTTTGTAGAGATGTTAAAAGAAATCAGTTCAAACATTTAATAAAGGCAAATAGTTAAACTTAAAATTACAGCTATTTATTAATTATTTATTATTTAGATTTTAAATATCTCAAAAAAAATGCCTTGAGAGTCTTCTATCAAGAGACCCTTTTTTTCATAAAGCATGTGTACAAATTCAAGGCGGGTCACAAATAATTATTATACTGGGCGATAAAAAATATACTTTTTTAATTGGGATTTGCATATCTCTCTTCAATGTGCTAATGTTAACAGATTCTAATTTATCGTCCCCCAAAAAGCCCCGATAAGAAATTTCGTTCAGATTACTTCGATCGCATTACAAACAGGATTTTCTATTTTCTTTTTACTTTTGGCTTAAAGAAATTAGTCTATATCATACTGGAGTGTTTACACTCCAGGAATCTATGGTAGCGTTTCATACAGACATTTTAAAAGCAGCCTGTATATAAACATGTATAAAAAAAAATTTCTTTGATCACAGCTGTCGACCACTTTGGACTTACTGTCCGCTAGAGTTCAAAATATGTAATTTTCGAGTACAAGTTAACAAATAATTGCGAATTAAGGTTTTTAAACAAACATGAATCTCCTGTTTATTAAATTGATGTAGACGGCATTAGTGATGTACTCTTGATTCTACAGTAGAGAAAAATGTAGGAGCAAACGGAAACCCGAAACAACATCCGCCCACGTATCGCTTCCCGGACCCCGTTTCCAGAGCTCTTCCAGGGCGGCTGGGCATTAATGTCCGTTGATGACGCAACTGAGCGAGACCGACCGATAAACAAACCGTCGTCTAGGCAACGACGCCGTGACGTCACACGTGACGTCAACTCGTTGTGGAGCAAAAGCAAGTTATATATCGACGACGGGCGCCGCTCATCGTCATTGTGCATAAGCGCTGAGCGCGACGCGAGTGTGTTACTCCGGAGAGTGATCGAACTAACTAGTCCACATTTTTTCTATTTTTCTACTTTTATATCTAATCGTACAGTTTGTTTATTTGGTACTGCGTCGCGAGTATCATCTGGTTCCAATCCTGGGTTTAACGTTTCTGGTAAGTAACGTGGCGCCACCTCCGTGTAGTCCCCACCATAGTGGTCATATGGTGATGTAGGTTATCAGTTAACCGTCAAATATCCTACCCTACCCTACATTGGCAATGTCAACTGAACATGTTACGATATGTATAAGTATTTCACCCAAAACGATGCCAGTCAATGTTTTCTCGCCTAATATTTTCTAGATAATTTCATCATACGGATCATACTTCTATTCGAAGAACTATTTATAGATATTTCAATACTGAGATATGCAATGGTTTGAAAAGGGATCGAAAACATTATTGATGTTGATTATTGTCTCTGTTGTACAACTCTGCTTGACTTGCGTTAATTGAATAAGTGTCTGTTAAAGGCCAGTAGAATTGTTATACTAAATAGAGAAACGCTGCTTCCTTGTGAGCCATAAACAAATTAGTAGATGCATATGTAACGAATATTCAATGAAGACTTAAACAAACTGAACTACTGGATGAGCATAGATTATTTTTGCTGCATACTTGCATAATTTTCTTAATATACTAGAGTATTGCTTTCAAGCGTCAATAAGTCTCTGAGGTTTAAACTGCTTTACAAATACATTGACAATGTATTTATTCATTAAAAATATGCTAATTAACAAAATTGAAAACTGGCGCCTACTACTTCGTGTAAAGTCGCATGTCTTCTGCCAGAAAACAATTGATCTTACTCTCAGCGTACGAACTTAAAATTATTTTGCTGTTTATATTGCCTTGCTTATTAATCAGAAAACACGTATTCAATGCTCTTGTTGCTACTTATTACGATTGTTATCGTTCCTTTCCTTGGTTGAAATGCTTATTTTATTGTATTGGAATACAAAATTTCGGAAATATTCAATTGAAGTGTTATCTTTACATTTTCTACTAATTCTTCCATATTTCAAATACGGTTAAGTTTCGTGTTCTTTTAAATGTATTTTAAGCCTGAAAATAATGCTTATGGAAAAAATTGGCTATATTTAGAGCTTTAAATCAAGTTTTAGAGATTTGGTTTGAAATTCCGATAATAACATACGAATTTATAAATTGTCCTCATTCACCTGGAGATGTTTTTGGGGGGTACAGAGCCAACCAAAAAAATGTTTTAAAATATAGATATATTAAAATATATTCTCACTTAAAACTGAGATATACGAAAAATAGCATTTTTTTGCAAACGACGTTGAGCTAATTCACATTACTTAAATGCCTGCTGTTTTATAAGCAAATAAACAAAGGTAACAACTGAAACTAAGAGGCAAATAAAAAAGAATAATTTAGTCTTACAAAACTATAGACTAATCAGCTGAAATAATGCAAGGTTTCATATCTTCGAAATTTCAATTTAGTGCCCAGCGAAAATTATCGGCAAATCAATGTGGACACTATTTTTATCTTTTAGCCATGTCTATCCGTTTTCTGTTACAGAACTAGAAACCGTCCAATTTTCATAGAATGGTAGGGTTTGTCCACTTTTTTCAACAATTAGTTGTTCCGGCATTGTGACTGCAGACATAACTTCAGCTTGTAGATATTTAGTTGCTATAAGTTTAACATCCTTTGACAGCTATCCTAAGACAAGAGTAAATTTGTTTGTAATGAACAACGCACGGGTTAGTTACCATGTAGAAAACAGAATAGATTTTCAAGAGAGTCATAGAGTTTATCCCTTGAAGAGCACGGTTTAAAAACTAACCGCAAATGCGAGGTTGCGATTTTCGTCAAAAAGTAATAGCCTGTATGGCATATTTTACAATGTTTTATTTGGAATCTTTAGTCGTTTTAATATTCTGTGACATCACCATAGACCTACATTAAAGTAGGGCTTACTAACGTAAAGTTAAAGTAGGGCTTACTGACTATTTCCGTACTTTGCTTGCAACTACAAAGTTTTTCTCATGGTTAATGTATAAATTTAAAAAAAATCGAGCTATTACACCAACATAAATATTATAATACTTAATAAATAGCGGTTTTGTCATTTGGTTCATCGATGCCATGCTGTCAAAGGCAAATATCTTATATAAAAAAATTTCGGCAACATTAGTCAATTGACTAATTATTATATTTTACGAATAATTACTTTCTTTTGTAGTCTTTTCTAGTCTTTTAGACAGGAAAAGTATTTTTCGTGTTTTAGACATGAAAAAGTAAGTATTGAAATTGAGCTAACGTCTGTCGAAATACAGAAATAGTACTCATTTTTCAAAATTTCTGTAGAACCTTAAGTTAGTTCTCAAAATGATTAACTCCGAATGGCTAAACAATTAAGTTGAAATTCTCGATATCAGTATTTAATTTTAATATTGAGAAAGAAAGTAGTTTAATTAATAAATTCACACACATACAACATACCTACAAGCTGGCCCACTAAGGTGGACAAAGTACGGTACCATTAAATAAAACTGACATTTCCTAGTTAAAAACTTTAGCCGATCTAAATCGAGCAAGGGTAAATTAAAAAAAAATATTCCTAATGTTTCAAAAAATATTCTCATTAAGAAACTGTTTCAGTGTCGGAAATAAGTGTTTGGTTAGTTTGGACTCGTTTAGTCCCTAGACTCTCTATCGTTAGCAGTAATAAGGGAGAAACAGGAACATCAACCGAATGATATAATCTGTCATAATCTGCCGCCTACGGAACTTACTCTATCAAAGACGAATTTCGCAGGAAACTGCCTGAATACCGTCACATAACTCGCATTAACTCAGTTCTATAGGAACCGACAAGATCCGATTTGCGAAAGGAATCAGGTTCCTAAGCGGCGTCCAATGATCTATTAACATCATTGGGAACAAGGTTTTAATCCGATCGCTTGTAATAAACTTTAGAGCACATTCTGCACATGCACTGAATGAGTTAAATCCAGTCGATGTAACAAAGGAAAAACCTAAAATATTGTTTAAACAGGAACCAAATGATTATTTCAAATGGCGTATTTTCATTTAGTGTAAAACATTCACATAAAAAGATTTTTGTATTGCCAATTCTATAATTGGCTCTTTGTCTATTTTGTTTGTTTTATTAAAAATTGGATGAATAGTTCACTTTTACTGCCTAGTTGTAATAATTATCCTCGAAAACTGCTAAACTCAAGTAGAGCAAAACAGCTATAGATAAAGCCATCGTAATACACCTGAAACAAGGTCACTGAAAACATTGATAAGAAATATATAGTATAATTTTTTAACTTTAACTTAAAAAAACTGGCTCAATTTTGCCGATTTATGCGCTATACAAGTAAACTTTCGTGCAAATGATAGGGTTCTAGGTTATTGATATGAGAATCTGTTATATTTGAGCGTAAATTGACTAGAATTTGGGAAATGTTGACACTCGTTTGAATATTCTCAAATGTACTCAATCGGGAACCACAGATTTCTTGGATTACTCAGCGGTTGTCTCAAACTATAGTTTGTTGCCTTTTATTAAGATAAAAGTTGAGTTTTATCCGTTAATACAGGAAAAACAATAGAACTACAGAAAACATAATTCAGAGATACGAAGTTATGCAATGACGCGAAAGAGTCTTTTTTTAAGGATTTGGGTCCCTGTTCTCTTCTATTCTCTCAGGTATTTCCATAAGCCGGGTCCTATGTAACGATGTGACCAGAAGTTTATAATTTGCTTTAAATAAAGAATAATGCATTTCTTCTTGGCCTATAAACTAAATACCAATAATAATCGACCCTGTCAAATGCTTTAATCAGATCTTGAAATAGACACATATTATTCTAAATTTCATATTGACTGAGTATTATTTGTATTCAATTATTTGTTATTCACGAATATAACACATTTTACGACGTTTGTCCGCTTATATATTTGATCTATTAATATGTTGAATCTGCAATTATCAGGCAACAGCGCGTATAACGACTAGAAAGACACACAAAAGAGCAATATCCCGCGTGCAAGGGTAGAACTGAACTAGATCAGATAACAATTGAAGAAAAAGTACCTACTAGTAATGTGAAATAAACGGCTTTTATAAAAACAATCATCCTTAAAATAAAAAAACATATATATTGTACCGAATATGTAAAGATTATTGTACGTTCAACATTGAAATGTTTATACAGGGTGGCCCAGCTTTTTGGGCCAGGGTTTCAGGAAAGGTTAGAAAAGCGTATTTTAGAATATGTTTGTCATATAAATTTGTATTCTCTCTTATGAGAATATAGAACATTTTCTTTTCATTTTTGATGCGCAGGGTCTTAAAAGTTTTCAAAATTGTTTTTGTTTTTATATCCGAATTGGCAAAGTAATTCGAACCAAATTTGACACACATAGTTAATTAAAAATCAATAATAAAAATTTTAACATAATTGTTGTGGTATACAAGTCAGAGAAGCAATAATTACAAATGTAAATATTTGAAAATGACCGTATCTATAACTTAAAATAGATAACTTAAAGTAAAAACCACTACAAAAACTGCTCGAAGTGGAACTCACAGAATTTTTGACGTTCTGCATTTTTTTATCAAAATGGAAAACAATACGAAGCTATGTTTATACGCAATTCATAATTTAGAAAGCGTTGTTTGAAACATACCTGAACAAGAAGAACGCCAAATTAACGATGGAAAACTGTATAATTAAAACACTATTTGGCAATGCGCTATACACAGGTATACTGGGTAATTCAAAATTGGCGTCCTTCTTCTGGAGGTATTATCTGGGGGCGTTTTAGGAGTACAGATACTGTATTCTGTATTCAGTATACATTCTGTTAATTAGCTCCTGCTCAATTTGTACAGGTGTTCAGTAAGTTCCCTTCAAGGCAATGACGTCAATTTTGAATCACCCTGTATAGGTTTAATCAAAATAAAGGTTCATTTGAATTGATATGTTGTCTGGAGGCATGTAGGAAATACAAACAAAACTTGGAAAAGTGTTATTTTTACAATAAACTGGAATATTCATAGTAAACGTAGTTACATATTTCCCAGAAATGCATTTTATTGCATGGGGCAATGTTAATCAGCTT